CGCTTAACCGACTGAGCCACCCAGGCACCCCAAGATTTTATTTTCAAGTAATCTCCACACCCAATGTGGGGCTTGAACCTACAACCCTGAGACCAAGAGTCTCAAGCTGTACCAACTGGGCCAGCCACACACCCCTCCTAGATCTTTTAGTCCTTGCTTCTTAGCATTCTTGTCTCTGCTCATTTATACCTCTCCACAGCTGTTTTCTGACCACCTTGTCCAAAACAGGACCCCACTCCACATTTGGAGTCACTCTTTGTCCTTTCATTTTTATTTCTAGTAATTCCTATCCGAAATTGCATTATTGATTTGTTTACTCATATATAGTCTATCTCTCCTAGAATGTAAGCTCTTTGAAAATAAGGAGTCTGCAACACTGATTTAATACTGTAAAACCAGCACTAGAATAGTGCCTGGCACATGGTAGATCCTCAACAAATATGTACTAACTGAAGGATGGATGAATGGATGAACGGAGCCAAAAGTTTTGGGTTTCTACCATAGTTATTTTCAGTATACCATGTATATCCAGTACATAGAAGGCATACAAAGACAGTTCCAAAGAAGCTACAATATTTACTTATTTTACCCTTCTTTTTACCTTCTGCTGGAGGAACTGGTCACTAAAATGATCAAAAGGCAGGCAGCCTGTCAAAGTGGAGAATTCAGACAATCCAATAAACAGGTTACCTGGCCTGGATTAGGGTCTGAACATACTCTAGCCTTCCAGAGGGTCTTAAATTTGCAGTTCCTTGTAAAGGATGACATTCCCACAAAGAGGCACACTCCTGCAGTAGCAGGGTAGGGGGAAGGGGTACAGAGTGGGCTGCATATGCAGGCCGAAAGGCTACTTCAGTGGTTCTCAACTGGGGGGCAAAATATTTACAATGCAGGTGTATGATAATACCTAGATACATACAATTCATTAAGATTGTCAAGACTTGGGGGTAGAGAATGGGGGCAGTATCACTGGCATCTAGTGGGAGGAAGCCAAAGATATTGCTAAACATCTTACTATACACAGGACAGCCCCATACCAGAATGAATTATCCAGCCCAAAATGTCAACAGTGCTAGTGTTGAGACAACTTAGTCTACCCTCCCCCTTTACTAAATAAAGCATACTAAATGCAAGTGATGTTATTAGACACATAACCTTAAATATACTTGAATTTAGAAAACTTAATCAGTAGGACTTTCAGTCTTTAGTAACAATAACTGGTGACACCAAGACTATAACATATCAGTTCCGTCAAGTCTCTGCTGTTAAGAATCCTTGGTAGATCTTGGAGATAAATAACACTTCACCTGGAAACTTGAGACCACCTTCTAAAAATCAAATTAGTTAGAACTCAACAAAATCAGAACACTATGTAGTCCCCAAGACTAGTCATTTGAAGACTGCACTCTGTCACTGCAATTTTAAGCACACAATACCCACGACATGTTATTTTCCCTGTGTGTCCTTTTCAAATTCCAGCTTTTCCACAAAGCCTTTACTCATAACTCTAGTAATCTTTGCCACTGTGCCTCCTACCTGGAGGTGCACTCAAAAGGCTGCTGTTTGTAACATTTACTAAAGAAAACTCCCAGTCCATTCAACTCATTTCATCTAATTCTTTTTGCACTTAAGGTTAGTACTACACAAGCAAGCATTTGTGTGCCCTTACTTCTTTCATATCTGTATGCCTTGTACCCCCATCTTCCCTGCAAAGACTGTTAGATTTCCTTTTGTATATACACAACCCCCAGGATAAAGCAAGGAACCCAAACCTAATTCCCCCAAGAATTTTCTGCTTAAAATATTTTTAGGATTCATCAGCCAGGAAAATTAAATGTAAAGAGAATCAAATGTGTTTAGAGAACTCAAGCTTATGTCCTAAAATGATTACTTTCTTTACGACGAATTTAGACAATTCAACTTTTCCTGCTTGCATTCGCAAGGAAAGTTTTTCCACTTAGATGGGGCAGCAAGGTCGCACACCAGTAGTAGTTACGTAACTCCTCGGAATCTCCCACTTAAACATATTTTTCTCAAAGGCGGGGACCACTTTATATGCGGTTACCAAGGCAACCGGGAACAGCAAAAATCTGAAGCGGTTCTACCTACGGAAGAAATTCTAAGGTCCAAAGTTATAGTGCAGAGCAGCGACGCCTTATTAGCACGCAGCGGCCACTACAGTAGCTAATTTAAAATCTCTGTCCAGCACCGGGCCCGCTTTTTTCAAGAATCCTTGTTTCGGGACAGAGACGAGACTTCGGCAGACCCACCGCCGTTAAGCCGGGCAGTCACCTCCCGCCGCTTCACTCCGCCCAAATAAGCTACTGCTCTCCACACTCCCACCGTGCCCGCGCAAGCCGCGGACCGGACGGAGAGCTCGCCACATCCCCAAGATGTTCAAGCGAAAAACACGTGCGACTCCTTGCCATCTGAGACTGAAAAACTATTCACCACGCCGATGCTTTCGGCTCTAATGGTGGCGGGGGGGGGGAGTTCTCAACCCGGGAAACCGCTCAGGAAAGACCCCAGCTTCGCTGAGGCCTAGTCGCCCCGGAGGCCGGCAAGAGGGCCTAGCCGTGGTCGCGGCCCACGTCGCTCTGTGCCCTGAGCCAGGTCACCGCCCGGAGACAGTAGGCAGAGAAATGAAAAAGGTGGGTACTCCCAGACCCTTCCGTATCGAGGACCCCAATCAACAACCCACCTGGTGAGCGCCATCTTCTTCCGCTTCTTCCAGCGCGAGCGACAGCACCGCGGGGCGGGTCTTTCCCCTTGACTAGAAATGGAGAGGAAGAAGCACGCGATACGCAGGCGCCTCAGCCGAAGGGCCTTCTGGGATTTGTAGTTCTTTGGACAAGAGTACGCTTTGGTTCTGTCCTAACCAGACCGACTGGTTATTAACGGGATGAGGGCTTCATTTAAGAAAGGCAGACGTACACTGTGACATGATGCAGCGTTCCCTAGGCAAAATAACAAAGGTGAGAGATGCCCTTTAAACTGCTTTATTTTATTCCCCACTCACTCTCATTCCCCATGTAGGGAGGGATCCCAAATACAAGAGTATCCCGGGAACAGCAACGTTAAATAAAAGGGTGACAGGGTTTTAAAACAATAGGAAATTGTGGGACCGTCGAATGGAGAGTTTTAGGACGCTCTAAAAACATTCACACCCAAAACTTTTCTTTCCACACCCCGCCCCCAAAATACTTTACTGGGAAGATAGTGTGATCCTTGGTTAAGTTACCTTTACAACACTTCCTTTGTATACTGTGTATGTTTGTGTTTTAGGTAGTTTATGTGTTTCACTTAGATTATGGATTAAACATAATCTTTGATGAACTGATAGGATAAATGAAATCTGGTTACAAATATTGGAGAAAGGGAAGTGGGTAGAGTACAGATGAAATGAGAATAGCCATTTTTGATCACTGTTCAAGCTGGATAATGGGGAAATGGATGTTCGTTATACTCATATATTGGACATTTTCCATGACAAAAAGTAGATACAATCTTTTAGTTGCAGTATAGCACACATACAGAGAGGCGCATACACTGTAAATGTGCAGCTTTTTGAATTTTCCTGAACCAAACACACTACTTTGAACAGAAGCAGCAACATCCCCTACCCAGGATGAATCAATTTCTGGTGTGACAAGATGTTATAGGCTAATCTAGTACTTTTTCTGCCCCAGACTTGGAATCAGTCATTTCTCCAAGGAGCCCTCCTTTAAGTAGGAAAGTGATATTTAGAGAAGACAATCTAGATGCTACAAATATTCATGGTTACTGGGTTGATTATTGTTTGTAAGCCTTTTTAATTGGCAAAACTAAAACATTTAGATATACACACATATTTTTTAAGAAAATGCATCATGCATTTATATTAATATTTCTGGGGCAAACTTAGGATTCCACAGATTTTGCTTAACTTTGATTTTATATGCATATCTCTTCTGAAAATCTTGGTACCTATTGGCATTAACATAATTACATTTGGCAATAATGGCAATGACATAATCAATTAACATAATTGCTTCATCCTACTGTATATATGAAATAGTTTTAGAATAACAGTAGTAATATGATTACTTATTGAAACTTAATAGTTTCTGATTTTTTTTTCAATTCTTTTTGCCCTTAGACTATATCTCTCTAGGCATGTATAGTCAAATTGCACGGCTTTAAAGTGACTTGGGGCAGGGTGTGCCTGGTTGGCTCAATTGGTAGAGCATGTGGCTCTTGATCTCAGGATTGTAAATCTTAGTCACATGTTGGGTGTAGAGATTTCTTAAAAAAAGAAAGGAAGAAAGTAAGAGACTTGGAATAGTTCCTCTCTGTGGGACTATGCCACTAACTTGATAGTTTTATTTCTTTTTGCTTTGGATTCTTAGGAGTCACTTAAAAAAAAAAGTTTTGTGAAACAGTTACATCGTTCCAAAGCCAAAATTTACCAAGGTGGTACATTTAGAGAAGTCTAGGTTATTTCCCTGACTCTTCTGTCATTTTCCCTTCCTCTCCTTATAGATAACCTTTAAAAAATTTTTATGGTTTATCTTTACATTTAAAAAAATACACAAATACATATATATTTGTATGCTCCTTTTCCTTTCCTAGACATATGGTAGATACCATACACACTTTTTTCTTCCTTGCCTTTATTCCATTTGTTGTATCGTGGAGATCACTCCTTTGCAGTATATGGAAATCACATTGGAAATTTTGAGCAGAGAAAATTTGATTTATGTTTTAAGAAGATCATTATGACTGCTGTGTTGAAAATGGACTCCAAGAAGCAAGAAAGGAAACAGGGAGACCAGTTGGGTGGCTTTTGTGATAATTCAGGAATAGATGCTGATGGTTTAGGGAGGGAGGTAGTGGTAGAGATGGCAAGAAGAGATTGGAATCTGGATCTATTTTGAAGGTAGAACGAACAAATTTTAATACTAGAATTGATGTGAAATATGAAAGAGAATAATCACGGATGGCTCTGAGGGTTTATGTTTGAGAAATTAGAGGCATGGAGTTGCTATTTACTATGATGGCAAACTGCAAGAGAGTCATATTTGTGGGAGATCAGGAGTTTGGTTTTGAACATCTTACATTTGAAATGGCTGTTAGATATAGATAGCCAAGTAAAACTGTCAAGTAAGTAGTTGTATATACAAGTTTGAGGTGTAGGGGAAAAGGTCTGGGCTGGAGACCTTTGTGAGTATAGATGGTATGTAAATTTATGATACCAGATGAGATTATCTAGAAAGTGTAGCTACAGAAGAGAAATTTTTCAAGGACAGCCTTCTGGACTGAATTCCCATATTTAGAGATTGGAGAGATGAGAAACCAGTAAAAGAGACTGAAAAAGAATGGGCAGAAGTTTGATCAATAGAATCAGTGGAGAGGAAGCATCCCTCTATCTTTTGGATCAGAAGCTATAAGATTGAGTTGCCAGTATTTATCTATCCTGGCATATAGCAAGACCCTGTGACAGGAAAGAATGAGGCCACCATGCAAAAACAAGGAGACCAGAAGGGTAAAGAGACGGGAAGAGAGATGTTGAGACCTCTGACAACATCATGGAAGTTCCTGGATTCAGCAGTGCCTGAAGACCACACCATCCTGAACTTAAAAAAAAAAAAAAATTATTTAAGTAATCTCTACACCCAACATGAGGCTCAGACTCACACCCCCAAGATCAAGAGTCACACGCTTCTCTGACTGAGCCAGCCAGGTGTCCCACCGTCCTGAATTTTTTAAATTAAGTGAGCCAATAAATTATTTTGTTGGCTTAAGCTAGTTTGAATTGATTCTCTATCATTAGCAATGAAAAGGACTTTATACAATGTTTGCTTTCTGTGCTCCGGTAATACTTGTTCTTCCTCCAGTCTTAACATGTATCACACTTGATAGATTTTGATGGTTTACTTTACTACAAAGAAGATTGAATCTCTCTCATCTGTGCCTGAACAATGTTGGGCAAGTCCTCAACCCCTCAATGGATATAAACTCTTTTATCTGTAAAAGCATAGAGTGGGCCCAGATAATATCAAAGATCTCTTTTAGTGTCAATATCCTTTTATTCTTGGTACTTTATTCTGT